GCTGATCCTTTTCAATCGCAGCCTAATTGTCTGAAATTAGAGGGAGGAGACGGTTGCCCATTTGCCATTACCCCCGATATTAGACGGAAGCCACACCTCTCGCATGATGTCAGAAAAAAGGAGTTGGATCTTGGCGTTAAATACTGAGGGAAGCTCCTTTCTGCCCGCTAAGACAAAGCGCAGCGGTCAGGAAGACGTCTCGGTTTTCTGTGGTCAGATGGTGTCCTCCCAAGAAGCGCTCTTTTGAAAAAAATAACCTTAAAGAAACAAGGAGTTCCCTTCCAGCTTTTGGGGGCTTTTCAGCACACAATTTACCCGGCTCGCAGGATAATATAACAGCTGAAAAGTTAACGTCCTCCCCCCCCCCCCCCCCCCCTGAACATCTGGATCTCACCTGGACTTCTGCAGAAAGGCGCACAGAGCCCGATTGTCACCGCGGCTTTTTTCCAGAGTTAATTCGAAGTTCAAAGCGCTGAGGTAAGTTCAACCCGTCCACGAAGCCCATCTCCCGGAATGCACACGGAATACTTTCCATTTTGAGATAGGAGTAGCCTGTTATTGGAGTGGGAAGCTGTTTTCTAAATGATTCAAATCGCTCGATCATTCATAAGGTTTTAAGCAACTGCGTCTTCTTGTATCTTCTTGTATCTTCTCATGTTGATATAAATGCATCATTCCCTTCTGTTGCATGCAGAAAGGTTCATGTGCTTTTAGAAAAATACCTTCAACTGTTGACAATAGTACCAAAATACTTTTTGTGGGATTGAAGGTATACCCATAGGAAAGATTTATTAATTTTTTGCTATTTTATACTACTGTAGTGGAGAAACATGATATTCACGTTAACCTCCTCTTAGCTCTACAGCTGTGAAAGACCAGTTTTATGAACTGATATGGATTGAACTGCACGTTTGCTATGCGATCACTGCAAAGAAATCCATAAATGTGCCCTCAGTTTAATTCAAAAGAGACCCGTTAATTAAATATCAGAACTCTACAAGGAGAAGGAAACTGAATCTGCCAAGATGCAGTGCCAGAATAAGTTGTTGTGATACTAAAAACTGTGCCTGTTGGTACAAGCTGGGGTAATAACTTTAGAGTAAACTTGGAAAAAGGTGCCTTCTTCTCACTACTTCTTATATCACGTTGAATGAATGAGAATTTATACTTTTTCAGTCAATTCAGGGACACATTTCTTGCCCAAAAAATTCGTTTTGAAATGAAATGAGGTTAGGATCATTTTTGTTAACCTTGCATGGTGGTTGGACAGTTTACCCTCATAGCTCTAGCTTATAAGTCACTGGCTCTGGTTGCATTAATCATTTCTAAAAACATCTGGCCTACATTTATCCAGAGTTAAGACATTGTTCGAGGTTAATCAAATCTGCACCGAGACGGAAGGAATGACTAACGATAGCGGTTCTTGGTTTATCAGCAGCAAATCGGTCCAAGATTCTGAGACTGTGAGTTCTTAGTGTGGTCAGGGCAAACCGGAAGGAAGTCCCAACATAGACATTCATCCCACTGTTGTATGGATTGCATTCTTCTTCATACTGATGGACTGAAATAATATGTTAAGACTGATTAATTAATAGCGATAGAACTAATGACTCCTCAAATAGGACACACCTGAAAGTTCATGAAGTTTTTGTGTTGGCAGGGATTATTGGGAGTATCGGCTTTGATAAGTTAGCTGTCAGCTGTCTTGAGTCTTCTACATACACAGGTGTTAAGAGTGATGTTACATTGGCGGCGGTTATTTGCACTTTTGGGCCAAGAATGCGTAATGTAAACCCTCTCGGTTAATTTCTTCTGAAGAAATGTGTTTGCACAGGAGGAGCCCTGACACATTCCGCCAGAGCAAATAGAACGTGGGCTCACATAATTAAGAACCTTTTTATTATTTATTTGAACTTTGGCTGTTACAACATCCTGATATGGCGTACCTAAGCAAGGAAAGCTGCATTCCCAGTCACAGCTGCAAAGGCAAAAACAACTTTAAAGAATAACTTTTTTTCTTTTTTCTCTTTTATTTTAAACAAGAGGAAGCTGTAATAATTTGTAGACCCAGCCCATTGGTTAATTTTGCAGCTTGCGATGTCTTTCCCAAAGTAATCAGATCGGGTAAACACAGTACAAATAGAAACAGGAAATAGACAAAACAGAAATAGAAACAAAATTAACCTCCTGAGACCCAAGCTTTATTTGATGTGCATTTTTTTGGCTTTCTCCAAGATAAATGGAATTAGTAAGACCTAATAAGTTTAATTTAGCTCTGTATTTGAAATATGTATTTATATTTATGAATGTTTGCTTTGCAATTTGGTTTTGAAAGTCCATATGCTGTACTTATAAAACTATAATTACACAATAAAGTTATGATTGGTTGAAAACATATGAAACCATTTTGTTTTAGATCTCAAACACGAGTGTTTTATAGAGTCTACTAAGAGGCCAATAGCTCAAAGTTGAAAAAAATGAAGTATCAGGGCTACTCACTCATGTGAAAGTTCTACCATAAATATGGTCATAAGACTGCTCTCAGAACAAAGTTTCATATTTTCAGTGAACGAGTTTAAAGTTTATTTTCAACCCAAACATGCCAGATGTATATTTCAGAACCCACAAATCCATTCTATTTCAGCCCGGGTTTGGTGCTGCACAGCATAGTTTTTCCAATGGGATTTGATGGAAATGTAGTGAAGTTGACTCTATTGTTATCCTGTTTTGAATTTACAGTGACAAAACTTTAGATTGAGACGGTTGCACTGTGTAAAGGGTTCTTAAGGGAAACTTCTATGGTTCTCTGGTCATTGCTGGACATAGTTCTACGTAGTTACCACCGGGCAGCATTCAGTATATAACTCTTATTCTTGTTTTTCCATTGCAAAACTGCACTGATTTCATGCACAGCTGGGAATAATATTGCTTTTGAGTACAACCAAAGCAGTGTGTGCTACTCAGCAATGAGTCAGCAACGCTGCCTCCTCAGCCTCTTCCATGATTTATAATTAGCGCCAACAACAACATAAAATAATTGCAGGGATGGATTCCATTTTCCAAATGAGCAACAGCAGCACAATTTGTCCTCCAGAGCATCTAATTTCAGCAAGGCCATGTTTAGCTTTACGACTAGTCTTCCCACAAGATTATTGGAGATTGCAGCAGCTGGTCCTCTAGAATGAGGTAGGCTGCCCTCCATACCCTCATTTTCTGGAGGAGACACCTGGCTCTAATCAGCCACAGGAACACCATGTTAAGAAGCCCAAGGCTACATTAAAACCACAAACAGCCACATACAGCAGGAACCAACCTTAATGGATATGCTTAATTCATCAGTAAGTTGAACCTTTAAATGAAAAGTCTGACCATTTATATCATACATGAATTAAACATCTCATCTTCTAACAGTTTTAACTTAGTATTTTGATCTTATTAATATTTAATTGTCAGTTTTAGTATGTTTATTATGAATAGCAATGCTAAAATAACAAAATCAACAATATTAGATTAAAATGTTACAAATTACAAATTAAACAATAGTAGACCCAGCTAGTATGTTTACGTTCAGAGTAGAATATGTGTTTCATTTAATGTTTGAACAAACTTATTAGTTGGTTAGGCAAAACAAAATTACAGAAGCATCATCTTGATCTGAGAGGCTTTTACGTTTTGAAGCATTTACCTTTCTCGACTAATAGACATATGGAGTTTTTTCAAGACGCACTATACAATATTTTTGGAAACATTGTGAAACCAGTCATTTATTTATTATTTATTTTTAACTTCTATGTTTGTTTTTTGTTAACATTTATTCATAGGGCGATAAATGTTTTAGATTGTCGATTTAGAATAAGTCTGTGGTGTAAATGATCTCCTAAAAAATGTTTACGGCTCATGTTTTTTACCTTTTTAAAAAATATATTTTCAGGGTTTATATATCATTACCATTATTAAATCATTTTTGGCCTCACAATTTAAACAAAATTAAATATGTGTATGACAGGAAGGTCTCCACATATATTCTATATTCATATTACAAACATATCTAATGCTAATGTGTTATTAGTGTATATTTTTCTTGTGAGTTTCAATCATCTGTGTCTGACCCGTGTACTTCCCTCCCTCCTCCTGACCGGTCCTCAGGCCGACATGGTGAACAGCAGGGTGGAGGCACCCACGGTGGCCGTGATGGGGAGTGGCGGGGGGACGGCGGGCAGGTCATGCGCAGGATGTGGAGGACGAATCGCCGATCGCTTTCTGCTCTTCTCCATGGAGCGGTACTGGCACACACGCTGCCTGAAATGCTCCTGCTGTCACGCCCAGCTGGGCGAGTACAGCAGCACCTGCTACAGTAAAGGTGGCATGATCCTCTGCAAGAACGACTACATCAGGTGAGTTCTGTGGAAAGGCTGATCGGCTGGAACAGTGCCGGCAAGATTTTCGTAAATGAAAACGTGGCTGACCCGAATGGCTGTCAAACTTCTGAGCTTCATTGATATAATGCAGACAAATTTGCAATATGGAAAATATCTAGTAGCATTAAAATGTGCTCATATGAGGCCTGTTAGGAGTTACATATCAACCCTTATTTTAAGTTTTTCACACACTGCGCATTTGTCTGTAAGCCACAAACCACTGGCTAATACAAATGTCTTTATTTTTTGCCATGAAGCCCATGAACTGAAATGTGAAATAAGATTTTTATTTTTTATTTTATTTTTTTTTTAATTATTATTATTTTTTAAATGTGAAATAAGAATGAAGTTTGTGGGGTTTCGATTTACTGACCTAATTAATGAGTCTTTATTTAATATCAGCATTTTTATTTAAAACAAATCTACCTGTTATTCTATCTACAAATATTGTTTACATATAATCACAAATTGTATTGCTAACATTTTTCATCTATATATATTTTACTTGATTTAATTAATCTGTTTGTTGGACTACAAGAAATGTACGAGTGGTTGAGACCCTTGAAAATATATTGGGGAGGTTATAACTCAAAGGAAACAAATTCTAAAAAGACAATGAAGAAAACAAGCATCCAATTTGCCATTTGGTATGGGTGTGAGATTGAATATGATATAGATGAGGATTTTGTGACTTGCAACCTTTCCAGGGTGTACCTCGCCTCTCACCCGTTGTCAGCTAGGATAGGATCCAGCCCCCCCAACCCCACCCCCATCGCCACCCTGTTGGGAATAAAGCGGTATAGAAAAATGTCAAATTTCACACGGATGAGAAACTATCCAGAGTCCTGAACTGAGGTGAAATTAGAAGTGCCCACCTCACACTTGGATTGGGTCAATCTTAAATCAACATAGTCAGGATGACATGTAATTGAGATTTGGACGACGAGTATGTCTGAGTAGGGTTTAATTAAAAAAGACTAGGATCCTCTCGGGTGCACTCGTTAAATGACTGTTTGGATTAAGATAAAAAATTAATTACTCTGTGCAGTCATTGAAAGAGAGTCGTTTGGAGAGAGAGCAAGAGAATCCAAAGTGGTCAAGTAAGTGTCAGGGGTAGATATAATAGGGTGTAATGATGACAACAGCATCCTATTAAAAGTTCAACCAGCTGCATTTCAGGTGCTGACATTCTTACAGCTATAGACTGATAAAGCTTTACTGTCCTTCTGTGATGGATTTTCAAAGACACTTCAGCATATGTCTTCAGTTTGTTTGTAGTTTTTCTCTAGAAGTGCGTCTATACATGTTTTTCTTCCAAAGATATTGGTATATTATTGTAAAAGAGGTGCGGGAATAATCCAAATTTGTGAATTCTGAAGGACTGTATAAGGCAATTTGATTTCAATCCTTAATCTACCCGGGTTGTCCAGCCAGAACAGATAAGAGAAGATGTTGCACTCATGCCTCTCTTTATTATGCTTAGGATTCTGATTAAGTATATATGTTTCAGTCTATGGTTTCTACAAAACAGAAATAAATCACAATAGATGATCAAATAGACAATACACATCATATATAATAGCTAAATTTAATCCTCTTTGAGTTTTGAATTGCTACCTTCAAAGTTTGTTCCTTGATCAGATAGCAGCTTGTGTAGCTTTTCCCACCCATAAAATGGCGTGGTGTCAGAAGAAATGAGTCAGTTCTAGCCATACTAGCCTGTAGATCAAGGTACACTCAAATGTGTTTTCAGACACTTAGATATTATTGTTTCTCATTGCGCCTCCAAATCTTTATTAGGTGGAATCCAAAATTGTCCATTCCAGTTAAGCAGGATGCTGGTTTAAATAATCTTAAACTGGCAGGTTAAGATCACCCATATTTGGAATGACGGGTTGACCACGCAGGATGCAAAACTTTCTGCATAGTTCAGGAAAAAACTATGTTTGCTCCTGGGTGACCGAGTTTGCTGTCAGAGTCTACTATGATAAATAAGGTGATGGAATGATAAGGGGCGAGAACAATGGGGTATAAAGTGTCTTTACTAAGTGACTCCCATCACTGTAGTCTACCCCCCACCTGGATTAACTAGATGTATGAGTCATATTCTGAGGTTCAAGTGATCAGTCTACTTTTTGAAGGGATTGGATGCTGGGATGAGAGGAGGGGAATTTCCTCTGGAAAACCATCTCTTTGAGCTGGCCTGAGTAGATATAGTTCTGTTTGTCTGAAGTTGTCGGCTGTGGAATTTGCGCCACTGGCCATCCCGTGATGTGCTTGAGATAAAGTCTCCCGTAACTCTTTGAATGTGATGGATTGGCTGGGATCAGGCAAAGGAGAGTTCGAGGAAGTGTAGCTCTGATCACAAAACTGGACCTTCACTTAGGTCATCAAGTGAGAAAATGTCTGGAGAAAAGGGTGATGATGTTTTTGGTCTGTTAAGAAAACAGATCTGTTACTCTAGTGATTTTCTCTGATGATCTGTGAGAGGATTAGTCCAATGATTATGTCATCAGCTGGGTTGTTCCTGGAGTGGATATAGTGCCAGGAACTGTTCTCAGTTTATTCTTAGATGTCGGAAACCAACAAACACTGGGTAGCAGCGTGTTTGAGACTGCAACCATTTCATTATGGTTGTGGAGTCCAGTCCAGTATGTGATAGATGAGATGGCTAAAGTATGCTCTTGTTTCAATAAAGAGCCAATCTGATCTCCAATATGGACTATACAGAGCTTCAATCTTGGAATGGATTGCTGTCAAACTGGAGCAACATGACGGCAGCTAGAAAGGCTATTTTGACAGTCCAACAATTTTCATTGCTGTTAACAGTCCTGAGATAAGCCACAGATCTGTATGCCGTCTTTGATGCATCTTAAAATATGTGGATGCTTTAAGTTGTAGTTGATATGTATATGTCTGGCATAACATAACAACAAGGAAGGAAGATTTTCGGTAGAATTTGGAGTTCACTCTTTCAAGGGTTCCAAGTTTGAAAGAGGTCATTGAAAGACAAGGGTCATACCGGTCATGTTTATTTCCAAAGAGGGGCTGCTCTAGGATTTTAGTTGTATGAGAAATGAGAAGTCCTAAGGAATTATACTATCTACCTAAGATCGGATAGACATTGTGCATTGTGGGCTATGGCTGTTCTGTGAGGCAGAGTAAGTTATGGTATCTGATCTGTAATTCAGGAACAAGCTGTTTGGCTTCAGATTCGGTGGGGAAGCTCTGGATAAGGTTGTTTACATAGGAACACTATTCTATGCAATGGAAAGTGTCCTCTTTAGGACTAATATGTTTTTGGAGGGATAACGTCCCACAGCAAGGACTTTATAGAAAGGGAGAACCTGTAACTGGTATATATCAGGGGGTCCGCTACCATCCATGTCTCTCCACTGGAAATTTCTTGCCTTCAGAAAAAAGGTGGACCTGATGGAACATGCCTTCTATGTCACTATTAACTGCGATCGGATACTCTCTATGCCAGAGTAGGGCACTGAAAAAGAGTAGCTCCCAAGGTTGGACCAGGCAAAAGATGTTCGTTCAAACTGCTGCCTTTATGTACGAATGAAAGTGTTTGGATAGACCAGGTTCTGCTGCTGTGAAGGCTCTGCAGTTACAAAAATGTCTCTTAGGGCAATTCATAGATGATATGGGGAAAGAACACCAACTTTACTGACATGGCCCTAATGTCCTGGCAAATAGTTCTGAGTGCTAGCTCTTCCCTTTGTCCGATTTCTTGATGACTTCTTCAACTTGGTACACTGATAGAAATAGAGTTGGACATTATCACAGTAAGAGTCTGCTATGAGCAGAGAGTCCTCGAGTTTTAGAAGATCAACAAGTATCTGGTAATGGAATTTCTCCGTTGCTTCTTTAGGCAATGTATCGTCCAATGCTATTTAGAAGCGGGCAAACTGTCATGGGTCATCTCCATCTCCATGGGTCATCTTTAGTTAAGTAAGGAATATTAGGCTTTGGCTCTAGATACTGTGGAGTATCACAGAACCTTAATTCCATGGGAAAAGCATGTGACACTGGAAGTGGCGGCGGAGGCCATGGCTCATTTGATGGTAGAATAAGGGACAGCTTCAGGCCATGGCGAGTACTCTGATTAAGCTACCCTTTTGCTGCTGGCTGGTTAGGAATGGATGTACTTTGACTTGATAATGTGGAACGACTGCAGTAGTACTGTCATTGAATTGCACAGAATGTCTTTCAATTGGACGAGCAGGCTGAGCAGTACGTCTTACATTTATGCATTTAGCAGGTCTTGATGAATGGTTGGTCAAAATATTTATATTTCCCATTTGAGTTGATTATTGTCCTCCCTTATTTCCTGCAGAGTTTATATGACATCTCCTAATCTGGCATTCTGAGGCCCTGGGCTCTCATGGGTCAAAAGTGGGTCAGGAGGTTGAGTGGTGGCTCCTTCTGTGTAGTGGTCATAGAGTGTATTTGAAGAGATCTGACGTCTTGGGAGGGTAACCATGAGGTTGTCGAGGTAAAAAGGCTGATGAATTTGATGACGAGGTTGGGCAATTCGTGAACTGAAAATGTTAAGGACCCGGCCGGCTCAAAGCACCATATAAAAGAGGTGCTGGAGACACTGGTGAGAAAAGTCAATGTTTTTATTTGAGGAATGATAATCAAACTGAAGTGGGAACAAACTCTGAGCAAGTCATATTAGTTTTAGTAAGTTTAAATGAGCTGCAATGTCATGCCACATTCAATATGAATAAATTGTAAAATGTGTTTGTGTCAAGTATGTATTTCAGTGAAATGTGTATATTTAAGGCATATAAACATGATCTGATACATTCAGACTGAAATAATCAATATGTTCAAACATTATACTCTTCTGTCTTAATGTTTGAGTGTTATATTCATTCCTGGTTAATGTTTAACTGTAAAAAAAAAAATTGGCTTAAGTAACAGTTCCAAGAGGGTAAGCTTGTCAGGGTCGGGAACACTGCATAGCAGGAATTTACAACACAGACCATTCAATGAATGATTCTCTGTCAAATTTTTGTATAATGGTTGAAGTGTTAAACTTCTGCCTCCCATTTAACTGCAGACTGTTTGGACACAGTGGAGCCTGCAGCGCTTGTGGACAATCCATACCCGCCAGTGAGATGGTGATGCGAGCACAAGGCAATGTTTACCACCTGAAGGTTAGCATGTGTATTGTGTACACATATGCAACTTAGATTTGTGCCATCTTTATCCGATGTTGAAAATGGGTAATAACAAATGATACTATCACTATTTCTTTCTTGCAGTGTTTTACCTGTGCAACCTGCAGGAACCGCCTGGTTCCCGGTGATCGCTTTCATTACATCAACGGGACGATCTTCTGTGAACATGACCGGCCGGGAGGAGGCCTGCTCAGTGGACACTCTGCTCCACTGCAAGCAAATGGCATTATGTCTGATCAGAAGGTGAGAAGTCATTTTCTGCTTGTTGACCCTCATGCATATTGAGCTCTAAAGGGGTACCAAAAAGACTCTCACAAATGATCAACCCCCAGTGGAATACTGGGTGAAAGTATTCTGTCGCAACGAACCCCATTTGTCAGAAATTTGTCATGCTGTCAAATCAGAGCATAGCTGCATGAATCAAATGTTTTTTAGCCACAGAGAGAACTGAATTTGCATCCACATTAATTCATCTCTGATGGTGAACAGGGTTTTTATCACACGTTTAGTGTTGTTTAAAAAAGGGTTAGTTGATTAGTCTCAGACTTCACCAGTAAAGTGGAAGATTATTTTTATAGAATGTTACTCATTATATATATGTTTTTTTCATGTATAAAGCCCAATATAAAAATGTACAGTCCTTGGTAAATTACTGTAGAATAGTACTGTTTAAAGTTTAGCAAAAGCCTTCCCTGGATCTCCATAGGGAAATGGTTCTCAAATAGACACCATGATTGTAATTGGAATGTAATGTAATTGTGTAATCTTTTGGAGTCTGATTCATTTGAGAAATTATGTGAATGTAGAAAAAAAATTTTTTTAATTGTGTAAAAAAAAAAAAGAAACATTCCAGGTGTGCTTGTCACCATTCGGTAATAAAAATAAGGAACATCCACCAGAGTTCGTCGAGGCCATGACCACCCGGGGTCATCTGGCCCGGTTTGGGGGGGGTATGCTGTAGCGTTTTACGACACTTAATTGCCAAACAACAGACTCTTACTGGAGGTGTAGCAACCACAGTAAAAGGAGAAATAGGAAACGTGTCAGGGAGAAAAATGACACAGAGTGAAGTGAGGACTAAAGCAAGAGAAAATACGACGAGGCAAATCTTGCTCTGAGTTACACCTACTGTGCTATTTTTCTGAAAACTCTGGCAACTGACAGTGTGAAACCAGCAACTAAAAACACACCCCATGTATGTCATTGCGCGTCAACCAGCCGCTCCCATTATTTAAGAGAAAACTGGAAGCGTATCGCAGGCAGGAGATCATTAAAAAAAAACAGAAAGCATGAACCTGATTGTGTTTGGTGTGCAGAAGATAAAAGGCCCATTGTGAATAGTGATGTGATACCATTTAATTCATTGGCAGCAACTGACATATTCATCTTTGTTGCCAAAATATTGTAATGATCCTTAAGGGGGTTATTGTTTCACTTATTCGTGTTTCTTTAAGTTACGACGTGATGAGTTTTGCCGCGGGGGGTTATGGGTGTGTTGGCTCTCTATTCAAAGTTTTTTTCCTCATTCAACCTGTGGAATCGTGTGTATTCCCTGAGACTGGCATGGGTCATGGCCATAACAGTCGCCCAGGGTTAGTCAGCCTGTTATCATGTCCATATGAGTAAATCCGCTCAGAGCATGAGATCTTTTCGGCATTTTACTTGAAGGTTGATCCATCATGGGTTATATCAGATGCGAGTGTTGAAGTCAACACTTTCCAGTGATATACAATATGTGGTCCTCATAAAAACAAGCTTTGCTTTCAGTGTTGCTCTTCACGTGGTTAAGGATTATTGCCTTTGTCACACCTCACAGTTAATATGTATCTTGTTCAGTAGATTAAACAGGATCAAGTAATAGGTTTATTTTCCAAAGATAACCCCACTTGTTATCACAGTATGCACAGAGGCTGTAGAGGAAATTAATAAATGTTTATACCTATCGCCACATCAACCATTATGCCTTAGTTTAGTAAGTCAGACCATGAAGGTAAAGCAGGGTAACTTAATTCAGTCATCACTAGGTTATCGTTTACACTTGAGTTTAATTAAATTATGTTATGACAGCCTAGGAAAACAGTGTATTGAATGTCCATTAGAATCAGTAGTATGTTCAAGTGACTGTAGTTTAATTAAGATATTTTATAATGTCAACACATGTTTATGCCCTGCTGTTTAACCAGTTCTCCTAACTGTTTACAGGTCTGCTGAGGAAAGAGGATGGGAAACCAGATGTGCCTTCTCCTCCATCTGTCTCTGTCATCGTCATTGTCTAACTACGTCCTGCCATCGGCTGACCTCCCTCCATTCTGGTAGACCCTCACTCTGCTGTCAGAGTGTGTTCCCTCCTGCTGAGGACAATTTAAAGAGTGGAATCCGGACAAGCGCGGTGGTAGGGTTAAAGGTTAAGAATGGAGAGTGGACCGATCTTATTTATACAAGTAGACTGCTCACATTATGGTAGTTTAATCCAACGGTACTGACACACCTGAAGGAAGAGCAATGTCTTGGAATTGTCCCGTTTGACTGATTCCAGTGCGATCATCCTTTGCTTTTACCCAACCAGCAAGTCAAAGTGGACAGTAAAATGGAGGTAAGTCCAAACGGAATTGGACAGCTACAGGGAGAATGACAATGGCTAACAAGATCTGTATGGATCCCTTGTTTTTGTAATTACAGCTAATGGTTCCACCCTTACTCTGACGGGCAAACCAAAAAAACACTATACAAATCTATATGAATTCTTTCGAGACTGTACAGGAAACATACAAGTCTGTGCATTATGGGAAGTTGGAGCTTTGGTTGGTCATTATCTATACTATGTAACTATATACAATGCATTCTTAAAAAGTGGGCAGAATCTTTATGTACTTTAAAGGAAGGATGCCACTTTTTGTCAAACATGGCCGCATTTCCCTGAGCAAATTCACCCTCAATATTTTATACCCTGAAGACAAGTAAAAACCCTTTTTGTTTTGTTTTTTTGGTGATGAGAGGTATTCATTTCCTGCCCAGGCCTGCACAGTGGTTTGGTGGACAGAAAAAGGTTCCTGGTTCAAATTTAAGGAGGGGTCTCTTTGTGTGCAACCTCCTGTCCGCAAACATGCATGTTAGGCTAACTGATGATTCTAAATGGTCCCCTTGGAGCAAGTTTAAACATGCATGTTTGTTTTTCCTGTACATCTGTTTGGCCCTATGATGGACTCTTCAGATTATGGCCCTCTTCTCGCTCAGTCCCCAGCCCTCATGCGAGCCCAAATTGGTATAAAAGAATGGACGGATGGATTTATCACCTGCCCGGTACGCCGGTCACCATTTCAATATGAAAATATTTTTAAAAAGACTGTATTAAAAGTCAATCCATGCGTTGGTGATCGATAACAGATGGTTTTCAGATTTTATTTCAGCCCGTATGTTCCACCCTTTTGTGTTTTTCTTTAAGCATGCATTCATTTGATGAGGAATAAAAAGAACACCCTGTTGATATCAAATGTATGTGATGTATCTAATTCATCAGGAAGTAGAGTGTACGTAAAAGCTGTTGTTTTTGGTAGTTTGGTGCTCATGGGCATTTCAGTTTGGGTTCACACATTTCCAAAAAGGAAAAATGTCAGCATTCTTAGAGAAGTGATAATAGCTCCCCATCAATCGGAGGAGAGCAAAGTCCATTATTCTTAGATACTGAGAGATTCTGCTAACTTTCGATGGAAAATATTTAACACGGCTCCCACGAGTGCACGTCCCAGGAATTTAAACTTAAGATCAAACCGTGAAACGATGATCGTTATGAGAAAACCCTGGTCTTTCAACAAAAATAAAAGACATGGTTCTTTATTATATGAGCACATAAGACTTCAGAGCCCAAACCCTTCATGGTTGTGAAAGGATGCCGATTTTTTTTGCTTCATTTGCAGCTTGAATCTAGATTCTCAAGAATTCCAACTCATTAAACCGAGGTCACACATTGAAAAATGGACCAAAATTCCCCAATGAATGACATCAGAGAACTGATGACCCGTCCAGGGTCAGCTGGGATAGGGCCCCCGCCCCCCCCCCCTCGCCACCATAATGGGACTAAGCGGTAAAGATAATGGACTGATGGTTATCAGACACTAACAGCGTCATACAAAAAACAGATATACTAAGATATGAAAACTAGATATGCTTGTTCTAGATAACTTATCATATCATGGCCTTTTTTTTTCATTAACTGCTGCTGCATTTCAGCTTAGCTGAATTAATAATCACAATGAACAAAATGCATATATCTAGTGTGCATAAAATGCATAAAAAACTTTAGAATTAAAACAAAATGTACCATCTCATTTGCGTGACTTACTTTTGACCTGTATGTAACAGTAAACACGTATACAATACGGGCCACAAGTAATTTAGACCACAAATAGGGAACAAATCAATTTCTCATAAAAAAATCTTATCCCAAATTTATAATTAGCATATTCAAAGAATGTATAAGACAATGACTATAGCGTGTACTTAATTAAATAGTCTTGTGAATTTTATTGGGTGCTTAATAAGTACTTACCATACTGGTGGAGTAAGTTTCTCAGAAAAATGGCACAGATCATGTTGCTTATTGATCAGCCGTCCAAATTTTTGCTTATAATCAGCATGCAGAGATAAATAAATCTTGATTTAAAGGGCCGGGCTTTTGATCCAGACAGTGAGCGACTAAAATCACGGTCCAGAATTTTACCCCAAAAATTGCCACATGATGTTTTGGCCAGATGACCATCTGCTACCCACTATTATTTTAGACTAAATATCTGAAAAAAGTCTTAAGTGTTATGGTGGTAGTGAATTTTTTTTTTACAGCGCATTTCAAAATGAGCTTCAAAAACTCTTTCAATTGTGATAATCTAAACTTTGATATTTAACGGTTGGCATAGGGGTGGTGCTTTAGCGTTGCTTCACGAGAAAAAAGGTTCCAGCTGTAATTTTTTGGACTGTGACCTTACTGTGTGAAGTTTGGATGCTTTCCCAGGGCTTGCGTGCTTTCTCAGTGCCTGTGTGGGTTTGATCTGAGTTCTTCTGTTTCCTACAGCAGTCTAAAAACAGCGCTAAAGCTGAGAGCGCTTAAGTTGTGTCAGTACTTTGAGTGGCCAGGTGTCCTCCACCTTTGAACCTGGGTCCTGAGACTTTAACAGTTTGATGGTTATACTTCATACTTGGACAAAGAACTTAAAATAGAATGAGCAACCTAGATTGTTGTCTTTTGAATTTCTTTTTTTTTTGTTTGTTTGTTTTATTCATGCATTCAGAAT